TAAGATTGCTGTGTCCATGGCCTTCTAAATGTAGGGCTTCATTAAATCTTGTTTCACCAGGTCGTCTTGCTCTGCAGCATCTGCTACGGACCAATTACGTTTTTCTTTTGTTGTATGCAATGTAGCATGATCATCAATGGCTCAGATGACATGTTTTTCTTAGCTATATGACTTTCAACCACTTACTTCATGTCTATAAGCTTTAATTTCTTCTGCTGTAAACTGAGAGTGAAAATAGCACAGTCTTCACAGGGTTAACACAAGTGAATGTGCCTAGCATGTAGTAAGCTCTCAGTAAAAATTTGCTGTTGCTTTTATTATTGATATCAGTTTTTTTCTTCCAAAATGAACTAATCATTTTTATTTTTAAATTTGAATGATTTTAATTAGTGGTATAATTATAATCTTTCATTACATGGTCCTAAATTACTTGGTAATTAATTGTTTAGAAGGGAACATTCTCTGGAGAAGGATGTCATGCTTGTTAAAGTGGAGAGTCAATGAAAAATGGGAAGGCCCTCAACAAGATGGATTGGCACAGTGGCTGCAGCAATAGGCTCAGGTAAAGTAGGAATCATGAGGTTGGCACAGGACCAGGAAATGTTTCGTTCTGTTGTACATAAGGTCGCTGTGAGTCAGAGACAACTCAATGGCACATAACAACAACAAGAACAAAATTAATTGCATTAAAGTAAGGAAGAAGAAGCACTACTCACAATAGCAAAAAGATGGAAACAACATAAATGCCCATTAACTGAGTAACGGATCAACAAAGTATGGTACATACACATGATGGAATACTATTAAATCAAACAGAACTTGCTGCCATCGAGTTGGATCTGACTCATAGCGACCCCTCCTTGTGTTTGCGAGGCAGCAAGGTGGTATCACTATGGAAGTAGATTGCCCAATCTTCCTTCTGAGGAGTGGCTGGTGGGTTTGACCTACCAACCTTCTGGTTAGCAGTCAAATGCCTTAGGCACTAGAAATTTACATAATATTGCTTTTCTTCCCATAGTCTTTGTAAACTCCATGGTGGAATTTGCCCTGAGCAACTAAGTAGCTCCTGATTGTTCAAGTTATCCACCTGCTTTATTTCTGTTGGTGCAGCATGACGCAATCTTCTGGGAAGTTCACTCTCTCTCAGGTGTATAGAATTCTGATGTTGGGATTGGTTAGTTTGACCATTCTGCCAGGCTCAGAAGGAACCCTTCTAGAGGCAGAAGAAATTTCTCACTGCTGGCTGAGAGATATGAGAGACACACACTGCTGAGAGAGACACTGAGAGACATGCACTGTTGTGAGAGACACTGAGAGACACCAAGACATACACTGCTGGGAGAAAGACTATTGGCTGAGAGATGGCAGGCTGGGAGAGACTGAGCGTGTTCCTGAGCCTTGTTGCTCTCTAATAAACTCCATAATCTATGAGTTCTGTGTGGCCACTGCAGCAAATTTTTGAACCCAGCAGAGAGGTAGTGGGTGCTGCTGGAGGAATGGTTGATGTCAGGGTTGTTGAAGGGCTGGAGGGAGGTAGCATGTCTGGCCTTGCAGGAATAGGCCTTGGGCCACTGATGGTGGTTCTGTCTTCCTCTTGTGGGGTTAGAGGAGGTCAGAAGATGCAGCCTCCCTGCCCCTTTGACAACTATACAAGGTTAAAGAACAGTGATGAATGTAGGAAACATCTCACAGCATGGGTGAACTTAGAGGACATTGTTGTTGTTGTTGTTGTTTGCCGTCGAGTCGACCCCGACTCATAGCAACCCCTCCTTGGGTTTCCGAGGCAGTATCACTACGGAAGTAGGATTGCCCAACCTTCCTTCCGAGGAGTGGCTGGTGGGTTTGAACCGCCAGCCTTCTGGTGAGCAGTCAAGTGCCTTAGGCACTATGCTACCAGAGCTCATTATGCTGAGTGAAATTAGTCAATCATAAAAGGACAAATACTATATTGGACAACTATTGTAAAAAGTCAAGAAAAGGGTTTCACAAAGAAAGAAATATTCTTTGATGGTTACCAGGGGTGGGGTGGGGCGAGAAAATCACCAACTAGATGGTAGGCACACATTAACTTGAGTGAAGAGAATAAAATAAGTAATTATAAAAAAATATTAAAAAATAAGGAAACAGATACAGATTGCCTAGCATCTTTTTTATTTGGTGTAGAAGTTGATTTTTTGTATCTACATTTTAATGCAAATATCTAAAATAATCTGGTGATTCTCTTTGGTCAAAGTGATATCACCATATCTTAAAGGCTATATTCCATAGATTCACTTCAACTCACACCTGGACCCATCTAGTCCAGTCATAGAATAAGAGCATGTGCCTTTCTGGGGCCACAGAGAAATGTCCTAAATGTTCTATCTTTTCTCCAGTTTTTCCTTGAATATTGCAGACCTTCATAAATTGGTGACAAATACTGATTTAATCAGTCTGAAGGATTAAGTACCTGTATTTTAATAGACTACAATGTTAAACGTGTTGGATAATGGAAGTAATGAAAATTCTTTCCAAGCTGTCCAAAAATAAATTCCAATAACTTAATGGTGTAGGAGCTCTGGTAGCATAGTGCCTAAGGCACTTGACTGCTAACCAGAAGGCTGGTGGTTCAAACCATCAGCCACTCTTTGGAAGGAAGATGGGGCAATCTACCTTGATACTGCCTTGGAAACCCAAGGAGGGGTCGCTATGAGTCGGGGCCAACTTGACGGCACATAACAACAACAACAACAATGGTGTTAAGCATAGTAGTATATTTCTAAATAACCATGCTTGCATAAATTTCAGTTCTGTTATATTTCCCAGGTAGACACTACAGACACCAGCTCTAATCAGAACTTTTAAAAATTATGGAAATTATACACATCTCATTATAAAACATAAAAAGTTGCAGACAAAGCAGTAGTTTGTCTTAACCACTCTAACCTCTCATCACAGTTTTTATCTTGTAACTATTGACACAAGTTTATTTTTACTTTTGTTCTCTTTTGTATTTATTTAATATAGGAATCTAAATGAGTGTGTTTTTTTAATCAAGTAACATCATACTATAAATTTTTTTCTGTAGTTTAATTTTTTCTCAAAACACGTGTTGAAGTTTTGTCATATTAGTATATAAAAATATTATTTTTAACTCTTGCATAGTATTCTGTAGTATATATCACCATTTACTTATTGATGAACATTTAAATGGTCCCAAGAATTTGCTATCATAACTAGCAATGATACATTTCTGCAGAGTAAATATGAAAAATGGGCTTAAATATGTTGTTGTTGCTGTTAGATGCTGTCGAGTCATCTCCGACTCATAGTGACCCTATGTAGAACAGAATGAAACACTGCTAGGTCCTGTGCCAGCCTCATGATCCTTGCTATACCTGAGTCCATTGTTGCAGCCACTGTATCAATCCAGCTCATTGAGTGTAGTCCCCTTTTTCATTGACCCTCCACTTTACTAAGCATGTTATCCTTCTCCAGAGAATGGTCCCTTTTGACAACATGACCAAAGTAGGTGAGACGAAATCTAGCCATTCTCGCTTCCAGGGAGCATTCTGGCTGCACTCCTTACAGGACAGATTTGTTAGTTCTGTTAGCAGTCCACATTTCTTTCAGTATTCCTTGCCAGCATCATGACTCAAAAGCATCAGCTCTTCTTCGGTCTTCCTTATTCATTGTCCAGCCCTCACATGTTTATGAGGCAACTGAAAATACCATGGTGTGGGTTAGGTGCATCTTAGTCTTCAAGGGACATCTTTGCTGTTCAGCATTTGAAAGAGGTCTTTTGCAGCAGTTTCAAACAGATTAAATATGTAGTCTATGCTATTTTTCTTTTTAGTGGAGCCCATCAAGTTGCTCTTCAAATGTCTGTAGCATTTCACACAATTGATCTTTCTATCCACTTTTCCATTAATGTGTTGTCCTCTTAAACCCCTATACTCTTATTATACCGAAAGCATTCACTTTCACATCTCCATTCTTTTGCTTGAACTGTTACCTCAATTCCTCGAAGTAATTAAATCTTAGGTAGTAATTATAACTAAGATTTAATATTATGCCATCACCATTCTTTTCCCAAACCCTCAGACAGCACTCCTGGCAGAAATAATAAAGTTTTTTTTTTTTTTTTTTTAATGCTCCTGGTATTTTATACATGTCTTTTTTATAGCACTTTTTATGTATGTTAGTTGCTGATGTATCGTATTGACTAAATTATAAGATCCTTGAATTTAGAGATCTTTCCTAATAAAATGGAAACTTATTTAGTAGCTGGGTTATAGACTGATTTGTCCTCCTTTGTATCCTTAAGGATCCAGACATAATTAATTAATTAATTAATCGCTAAGACTATAGAATTACAGCATAATAATGTGAGTGATTAACAAGAAAGAAAACAAATTATATTAGTCATTATTCATAGCATTAGAATAAATCAAATTTACATAGATGCCTTAAGAGTGCTTTCTATATGCATATTATTAACCACTGAGTGTGGTTATTGATTGTGCACTTTACTTCACTGTGTTTCTGTGCATGTATACATAATATATGTTGTTGTTGTTGTTGTTATGTGCTGTTGAGTCGAGGTATTTAAATATTCTGATATGGAAATGAATTGTTGCTACAAGCAGATCCATTACCAATGAATTCATATCTCAACTAAATTGAGTTGTAAACCACACAGATAATTACCTCAAAGAGCTAATTCTAAATGCATATGACTCTTAATGACTCCAATGGGAAAGCAGCCTTTCAGTAGTGATGAATGTTACAACTTTTAATTGAAACAAGGTTATCTAAGATATTAAGGTGACGTAAATTGCTGTCAAACCAGTTATGACTTTATAAATTTATAATTAGAATGTTCCAGTCCCAGCAGTTTTCTAAAATTTGTTTGGAAGATAGGACAGATGTAAATGAGTTTCTTTACACAAAGAAGTGTGATTGTAAGACATTTACTTTTATGGAAATCTTTTTATCATTTTATCTTCCTGTAACTACAGTTAATTTTAGAAGCTACTGTTTTATCATCAAATGCGACAGTTGCTCTAGATGACATCAGTATATCCCAGGAATGTGAAATTTCATATAAGTCACTTCCAGGTACCAGCACACAAAACAAAGGTAAGTTTTTCTTAGGATTGTTCTACTTTCAGACATCACAACCTTTAGTGCTTATTGATTAAAAAAATATATAAAACATATTAAAGTTCCTCTGGTGGCGTAGTGCCTAAGGCCCTTGACTGCTAACCCAAAGGCTGTCAATTCAAACCCACCAGCCACTTCTCAGAAGGAAGGTTGGGCAATCTACTTCCATAGTGATACTGTCTCAAAAATCCAAGGTGGGGTTGCTATGAGTCAGATCTGACTCGACAGCAGCTGATAGGTTTCAGAGTTCTTCTGTTACATAGCTCTTTAATGCCTAAATTTGGGATGCAGATTTAACACATGTCCTTGAAACCTAAAACATATTTTTATAGGTAAAAAATATATATCATGGCCTATGTCTTAGGCCTCTCATCCGATAATATGGAAGAGATTCTACTCTAGTGGTTAACATAGTTACATTCAAATTTTTAATTATAAGAATTATTAATAAATGTAACTATTGTACATATTTTTAAAACTCCATGTAATAAGATTCATATCTGAGAATAACCCAGGAGTTCAAAAACTCATTAAGTTTGGAAAAGTGACTCTAAAACCAGCCAAAATTTAATACTTGACTCTAACAATCTGTGTTTACATTTAATGCATAATTATTTTAAGTAACAGATGGAGTTTAGCTAATTCTTTGATTAAATAGTAGACAGGAAGGTAGTCCTAAAAAATGATTCCCAAAAAGTGAAATGGGTATTTTAACAATCTAAATACTTATTAGGTTCTGCAGCAACATTGAAACCACGTGCATCATACTTATACTTACCTGTCACTCTAACACTAATGTTTCTCTCTGACAATCCGACCCACAGGTCTCAATTAATGTTAAAAGTGTTGCCTGAAAACTGTCACACTGTGTTTTCTTATTCTCTGTACATAAAATGTTTGCATGTAAAAATGAGGCAAATTATATATCCTGAAGTTACATTTCCTTAAATAATACATTTAGTGAGTGAAAACTGGCCAAATGCATTTATCAAGGATGATGTGGAGGGAAATTACTCTGGATTGAGAATTGTGTTAAAGAGCTTTTAATTAAACAACCTTTATTCAATACAGCTTTCATTTATGATATTACATAATTCTGTGTGATAATTTTATATTGCCTTAATGTGTATTTATTTTGTGTGGAATATGTGCCCTGCATTTATACTAACCCCTTCTAAGCTATATGTATGTGGTTATGATATATATTGAAGAATACAAAACAGTAGATTAAATGATTTACGAGTTTTTAGGGTTAACCAGTATTACCTTATTTCTGATATTTAATTAAATATTTTTTTCTTCTAATCAAATACTGTATCACCAGAATTGGAATAGTAGAAGGCATTAAAGGTGACATTGAAAAAAATGTAACTAGATATAAAAGTGTGGTTAAAGGCTTTAAATTATCACTAAAATTAACCTTAGCAGAAATCTCCAACCACTTGATCACTTATTGAGAATCCTTTTCATAAATTAACTTAAAATTCATTTATGGGTGCTTCATCTGATCACCAGTTCAGTTGGTTAGAGCTTAATTTTAATGAGGGCAAAGCTACATGTATTATTCTTGGCTTTACAAAATGGAAAGAAAAACAACTTCTCTTAATTTTAAAGTTTGTCTAATAGCCAATTATAAGATCTCCTTTATGGAATACATAAAATTACTACTGAGCAGAAATTTAGGAAGGTAGACTGACTGAAAGGAAAGTTGCAATATGTGTCATGATGTCAGTAATTTATATTGGTTGGGCAGAGTGACAAGAGGTTTTCCCAGAATGTATGCTTAAATTAAGGTCCCTGAGTTTCACTAACTGTTAGCACCTGACTGCTAACCCAAGGGTTGATGGTTCAAACCTACACAGTAACACTGTGGAAAAAGGCTTGGCAAATTGCTTCTGTAAACATTACAAAAAAAAAAAAAAGCCTCACTCCCCTTGAGTCAATTCTGACTCATAGTGACCCGCATTGGGTTTCCAAGGCAATAAATCTTTATGGAAGTAGATTGTCCCGTCTTCCTTCCACAGAGTGGCTGGTGGGTTAGAACTATCAACCTTTTGGTTAGCAGTCAAATGCCTTAGGCACTGGAGAAGTTCTACTCTATAACACATGTAGTCACAATGAGTTGGAATCATCTTGACAGCAACAAGATGCTTGAATTAAAGCTATTGAAGAATCCATTGATATTGACATGGCTACAAGATCCCAGAGCAGTCTTTAGTGTAGTAGTCTTAAATTTACTTCTGATGGACAATACCGATGTTTCTTCCTGATACAGACTTTTATTAAGATCTAATTTTCATGAATATATTAAAAAAAAAAAAACTAGTGTTTATAAAACAATTATGTGTTCTATTTATTTTTTGAAGAGGAAAACAATGTTTTATCATCTTGGTCTCTCTTAATTTTCAAGCTGGATTTGTGGCATATGAAGATGCAGACAGTAGTTCTTCTAGCAAGATCTGTGATTTTACATCTAACCGCCCTAATAGAGCAAATGAAGCCAGTTGTGGTGAGTGAACATACTGACTCATTTTGCTAAAATATATGTGTACCTATTGCTCTGGTGGTGTAGTGGGTAAGGCATTTGTTTGTTAACTAGAAGGCCAAAGGATCTAACTCACCAGCTGCTCTGTGGGAGGAAGATGAGGCAATCTACTTCTATAAAGATTTATAGCCTTGGAAACTCAATGGTGTCATCATGAGTCATAATCAACTCAATGACAGTTTGTTTGTTTTTTTGTTTGTTTTGGTATTTTCTCTTTTATAATGTAAAATCCATACAACTCAAGTGAATATTGTTTGTTTAATAAAGATAATCAGAATTGAGATTTCTACACAATTAAAAGGACTTGCAGTTAAAGGAAACCAGATTAACTTAATACTGGTGGTCAGTGGATAAAGATACTTCGTTAACTTTCATTTTTGTTATGCTGGAATTTAACTTGAAATAAGTACAAGCTAGAAAGCAAAAGACAGGAACAAGAATTGATTAAACATGTTCTCTTATGCTTTTGATTTTACAAGAATACTTTGTATTATTAGTCTAAATAATTACCATTCCACTAGAATGTATGGCAGAGGACTGTATAATACTTATGCATGCTTTTCTTTCAAACTATATATACCAATAAATAATTGGTCATAAAATTATACATCATGGCTAATTGTATCTATTCTTTAATCTTTGAGAGTCTTTTCTCAGTTCCTCCTTTTGAAGATGAAATATCTCTTTTCCAAGGTATACATACTGAATGATATCTATATGATTTTAAAGTCATTTTATTATCCTTGGAAAAGAAAAGAAAGGAAGGAATGTCAGTGGATAATGCTTTGTAAAGGAATTTAATCAGCTGTGCTATTAAAGAAAGTGAAAAAGGCAAGAGAAATTACAAGAATATCACATTTTCTTGATAAGCCATACCTAAAGTGAAACACAAGGTTGTTTTCAGTTAAGGCAATGGAAGGATATGGCATATTCATGAATTGTGATGTAGCACCAGTTAGAAGCTCTGTCAGCAATCTGTACAGGGCATGAATCGGAATGATGAGAAAAGTCAAAAGCATCATTGTGTTCTGAGAATTTTGCAAAGCAGCCATGCTATGACTCACCAAAAACCTTTACTGAGCATCTACTCTCTACCAAGAGCTTCAGTAAAGAGTAAAGTGAGATCCTTATCCTCAATCAATTTTGTCTATTAGATAAAATATATTTTATTTTAGTATATTTTATTATTTAGTAGCCTTGTATTGTAATTAAAGCTAGAACAGAAGTATCATCAAGATTCAGTTATAACTCTAGAGGGTTTGAAAAGGTATTCCATAGAATGTAAGTAATTGCTAAGTAGGAATTTCTTACTTATTTTTTTTTTTTTTTTTATTTTGCTTGATTAGAAGAATATCTGTTAAAAGTTCTGCTAGGGATTAACAGTTCTACCTCTGATGTACATTAAGACCATTATCAAATGTATATATGGTTTAAGTATATATATATATATATACACACATACACACACACACACATAACACATACACACACTTTTTTTAACCACCAAAACAAATCTAAGATATAGGCATCATTATTATGATAATTTTTAAGACTTTTCTTAGCAGTTAGTCTCCATTCAGAAGACAGAAGAAACTAGCAATTTAAATTAAAAATTTTATATAAAGAATTATTGATTATAAAAAATGGTTAGCTACAATAAAACATAAAGAGAACAATAAGGAAGAAAGGAATAGCAAATGTGAGGAGCAGCCAGTATATCTTCCTTCAGTACCCAGGAAGGAACAAACATGGATGAACCCATTCGCCCCCACAGCCCAATGAAGAGATTCTGACCTTATTGAAGAAGGTGTGAATGTGAACTTTAATAGTGGGTAAATCTACTGTGGTGCCATGGGCTTGATTTAGTCTATAGCTGATGGACCAGAGCTGGTTGGGAATTCATCCACCAGGATTCCTGAAAAACTAACTGGAGGGGACTACAATTGGGTCTGCCTTACCTCCAGTTATGCCACAGGAATAAAAAAATAAAAGCACCCTATGAATAGAAAAGGTGCTCTGGTAGCGTAGTGCCTAAAGCACTTGACTGCTAACCAGAAGACTGGCAGTTCAAACCCACCAGCCACTCCTTGGAGGGAAGGTTGGGCAATCTACTTCCGTAGTGATACTGCCTCAGAAACCCAAGGAGGGGTCACTATGAGTAGGGGCCGACTCAACAGCACATAACAACAACAACAATGAATAGAAAGAAAAGCTCCTTCCTTTGCCGTGCTTTGCAGTGTCTGTCCTGTGTTATCCACAGAAAGAGCCTAGCCTTGTACCAGGTATTCAGTGGAGAAACGTTTACAAGTTCCAGCTCTAGTATCTCAATGCAGGACAAAGAAGGGTAGGTTTGGAGCTGAGAAACAATAAATTTATAACTGACATATTTGTCTAATGTTACATAGGCAGTAACTGGTAGAATCCCATTTTA